AAGTGTGGTATTCCTACCCGATTAATCGGGTAGGAAGTCAGGTAAACACTTTTGTAGTTATTAATTTTTGTATCATTTTAACAATTCAATTAAATAAAATACATCAATTTAACAACACAATAAATAAATAACACTAAAACCTAAAACAACTACAACAACAATTACAATAAAATATAAGAAAGCGTGAACATCAATCCATCATAATTGTTATACAAATATAATAATAATTATTTTAAGTTTAAACTATATGAAACACATTAAAATAATAACTGCTCCAATAGATTATCAGTTTACCACAAATCATATAACCTATACAAAAAATAAGTCAATATTTTCGCAACTCAAATATCCACAACAATAACAATATTATAATATAAATTATACTACTAAAATACTCTTATAATTACTAAAAAAAATATTAAAAAATTATATATATTTTTTATAAGTAGGATATGGTAGAAATGTGAAAATTGATTGATATTTTGTATTCCTATCCAATTTTAACAGCTAGCCGTTCAACAGGGTAGAGTAGAGCCGGATAAAATAAAAAATTGCGGCAATCGAAAATTTGAACACCCCTATTATTTCCTATAAAATACCCATCTTTGGGCAATTTTGCCCTAATTACACAAGATTAGGTCAAAGGCCTCACGCTCGCCCCTTTCTTCTTCTCTCTCTCTGTGGCCTGTGTTAATAATGTGTTGAGTTCTGTTCCAGACCAGTAAAAAGACCCACAGACTCACATCGCCTCCGCCTTTCGGATCTCTCTCCAAGTACGATCTCTGCTCTCTCTCCCTCTCCGTCTTTCTCTCTCATCTGTCCCACTCTCTCCATCTCTAATCTCTCCCTGCCTCTCTCCATTCGATATCTATCCTGTAATAACAACCCAACGTCATATTTGCTCAGTTGTGGTGTAAGTTATGACTCACTTCAAGGATTTGAGATCCCGCTAATTCTTGGTTCATGTATAAGGCACAATACTTATTGTTGTACAACTGTACATATATAATAGGGTTAATTATAATTTACACTCCGAAAGATTGTTTACATTTTAATTTATACTCCTAAAAATAAAAAATTTTAATTTACACCCTCAAAGATAAAAATTTATATCAATGTGTACCCCCAATGATCAAAAATCTCAATTTGCACCCTTAAATATATAAATTTATATCAATGTGTACTCTCAAAGATCAAAAATCTCAATTTACACCCTCAAATATAGAAATTTGTATTAATGTGCACTTAAAACTAACTGTTGTCAATTTGCTGCCTGAAACTAAATTGATAAATTATACCTAGATCCTCTTATGTTTATCGCTTAATCATTTGGATATTTTCACAAAATAAAGGATAATATGAAATTATAATTTTTTATTAGGATAAAATCATATTTTTTAACGGTTATAAAATCCTAATAAAAATACTCTTAATCTAAATGTCCCCCCAATTGGACATTCAAATAATTATGTTTATGTGATTGATATAAAAAATATTATATAAATACCTACATTCTATTGGACATTCAAATGATAAGTTTGATTTTAAACTTTAGAGTATATCGGACCCACAAAATAAAGGGTAATATGAAATTATAATTTTTTATTAGAATAAATCATATTTTTNCTTAATTTGTATTGGAAATTAAATGCATGGGATATATGTTTGATAATTTTTCTCTACTTACCTTTACATATTTGCTGTTATTATCATAATTATTGTGATTTTTTAGCCTATTTATTGTTATTTATAATTATTATTTATTTTTTATTATAAGGCCGGTTCGACCAGTGACCCAACAATTNAGTACAAATTAAGATTTTTTATTTTTGAGGGTGCACATTGATACAAATTTCTATTTTTGAGGGTACAAATTGAGATTTTTGATCTTTAAGGGTGTACATTGATATAAATTTTTATCTTTGAGGGTGTAAATTGAGATTTTTAATTTTTAGGAGTACACATTGAGATTTGAACAATCTTTTGAGGTGCAATTTACAATTAACCCTATATAATATTTGACTATGTATTTCATTTGCTGACTTAAGATTTGTTGTAAATAAACCGTGTTGTTTTCTTTTTTATTTCCTACCCTAACAACAAACCAATTTTCATTGGGTCTAGTTTCAACGAATTCTAATATTCAGTCTAAATTAATTAACCCGAATTACAAACTTGAAGTCAATCTGAATTGAACTGAATTCAACCCGAATTTTAAGGAATTAACTTGGGCAGACTCGAGTTGAGTAGCTTAGCTCGGGTTAAAAGTTGGGCTAGGGTTAGAGTTTTTATACTTCGAGTTAGGCTAGGGTTAGAGTTTTTATATTTCGAGTTAGGCCAGGGTTGACCCCCTAACTAGTCCAACCCGCCCGATTGTATTGTCACAGCTATTGTTTTAAAATTTGGCTCGGCCCAATGGATTGACCCGATGACTAAATCGGCACGATTAACTCTTTGGATCGTTATGCAAGAGACTTGTCTGAAAATTCACTAAACTGTCTGAACCTGCTGAATCGTTCTCACTTGGACGATTTTAATCAAACTGGGTCTTTTATATTTATATAAAGGATTAATTGCGCTAAAGGTTTTCAAAGTATGAGATTTGTTCTATTTTAGTCTTCAATATTTCAATTTTATCATTTCAATCCTTAAAGTATTGAATATGTATCTAAATAGTCTTGCATTCAGATTGTTAAATATTTTTTATCATAAATTTATCACGTAATAATTAAATATAAACAAAAAACTAATTTTGATAGCTCTTAAACAAAATTTGGATAACTCTTGATAAAAAAATGTGTAACATGGGTAATTTTTAAACAAAATTTAGATAGCTCAAGATCCAAACCTATAATTTAGGTCGGTATTTAATCAAAAATTGAATATAAATTTGGTTAATAGTTATTTAAATTATTTTTTTTCATATTTATGTATCATGCGATAGATTTATAATAAAAAAGTATTAGTAGATACATAACATATTCAGTTCTAATACTTTAGAACGAAAATGATAGAATTCAAATATTAAGAACCAAAAATGATATATATTTCAAAAGCTGAGTTTTGGGCATTTTGCCCTAAATCAACACACCACAGTCTCTCACATCTCACTCGCTTGGTCTGTTCATCAAGTCGAACGAAAAACGACGAAGACCAGCCAAGCCAACCTCTGTTTCTTCTCTTCGCAACGATTGATCATCGATCAATCAGCCGCTGCGAGCCTGCTCCGACAGTCTCTGTTGTCTGCGAGTCTGCGACACATCGACAACCTCTTCTCTTCGACAGCCCTAAATCAATAGCCTCTTCTCTCTATCTCTTCGACTCCATCGATAACCATTGACAGCAGGTACACTACTCTCTCTCATTCTCTCTCCCCCCCCTCTCTCTCTCTCTGTTGTTATCTCTGTAGGTCTCGATGTCTCTACTCTCTAGCAGTAACATGTACATTGCACAGTATATGGATATATGCCCTAATCTACTAATTTGTTTTATAATTTTTGATCTACTTTGTGTGTGATTCAAGCCAAATTGTTGAAAAGAGGGCCAATGTTGAGTAACTTGGATTTTATGATTCATTTTAGCTATTGTGGTGGTTGTTGTTACTATATTTTTTGAACCAAACAAAGGATGTAATTTAATGGTTATTGACTTATTGTTATTATTGTTGCTGTGAAATGAAATGAGAGAATTTACGACAATTTACAACACTAAAAATTTACAATATTGTTGGGATGAGAGAATTTACAACAATTTACAACACTCTTAACAATTTACAATATTGTTGGGATGTTATTGATGTGTGAAATGAGATGATGTTGGATTTATTGCCTTATGTATCTTAATTTGTATTGGAAATTAAATGCATGGGATATATGTTTGATAATTTTTCTCTACTTACCTTTACATATTTGCTGTTATTATCATAATTATTGTGATTTTTTAGCCTATTTATTGTTATTTATAATTATTATTTATTTTTTATTATAAGGCCGGTTCGACCAGTGACCCAACAATTGAACTAGTGACCCATTGACCAGGTCCCTCTGCCAGGTTGATATCTGGGCTGGGTTTTAAAACTATGGTCACAGTAGTTGATGCTTAGGTTAGTTGATTTTGTCAAAGGTTTGGGTTAGTTGATGCTTGATTGTATTGTCACAGCAGATTTTATAATGTACAGCAGATTGTTTGGGCATATTTTATGCATGAGCACATTTATAAATTTTATACATTGAGCAGTCAGCAGATTGTGGTGGTCTTTCATGCATGAGTTTTTAATTATTTTCATTTTGTCGAAGTGAGAGCTTTGTTGTAAGTTTGAATCTAGAGCTTATATTACGACCAAAAAAAAAAAATTTAGAGCGAGCTTGTTCATTAGCTGGCAAACTCATGTTTTCTAGGAAGTAGTATTCTAGTCATTTATATATTCTAGATATTTCATATTGATTATTAGGTATTGATGCTATGAAATGAAATGTTGTTGGGTTCAGAGTTCAGAGGTTCAATTGATACCAAAAAAAAAAAGTTCAAGAGCTTAATTGATAGAAAGCTCATAATTTAAAAATCATATGTGTAGTTTACTTCAACTTATTTGTGTTAACTTTTGTTAGAAAACTTAACGGAGGCAGACAGAAAGATTCAATTAATACAATTACAGAGTTCAGAGGCTCAATGACAAAAAAAGTTCAAAGGCTTAAATAATACAAGGGTCATAGTTTGAGGGTCATATTTGTAGTTTACTCTAGTTTATACTTAGATGTATCGTAGCCTTGTGGGGTTGAATTAATTGTAAGTTTTTGGTTTTGGATGCTCACATCAGGGTGTCTTCATCCAGAACACCCGATTTAATTGTGGTTTTTTAGTTTTTAGCCTATTTATTATCATTATTAATTATTTTTTATTATATTACTGATCCGACATTGACTCAACTCAATGGTTGAACCAGTGAGTCATGGTCCTTTTCTCGGGGTGATGTTCTAGTAGGGTTTTAAAACTATGGTTGAGTTCATCCTAGTTTGCAATATGATACACCTGGAAAGCATAGACAAGAACCAAAAGGACAACGTTTATCAAGTACCACCCTGCTAATAGTCTCGTTTTTCATTTTATTTTCTTGCATTCTTCCTATGTTTTCTTCAATTTTCTTACCAACCAAACACGAGGAGGATTTAACTGAATTTTAATTTTTCAGCATAATCTGACATTCAATAATGCAGCGAAGGATACTATTCCAAATTGTTCATTCAGACGCACTCAATTTTCAAACAATTCCCAATTTCAATTTCACCTTTGCAAGAACCCTAGCTACACATGTAGAAGAAGCAGATCCTCTATATGCAGATGTACCAAAGTCTCGCAGAACCAAGTCGGAGAGGAAACCATATCCAACACCAATGAATGTTCTGATTCGGAGAGCAAAGGAGGAGAGAGAAGCTCGGAAGGCCCAGCCTTGTAGATTGCTCGAAGAACCTCCTGATAATGGTCTACTCGTTGCCCAACTCGTTGAAGTGGCTCACCGAGTTTATCGAGCTAGAGAATCTCTCCTACTTGGCATTTCCAAACTCGTCGATTTCATTCCGATCCAACGATGTAGGTATAATCTGTTGTTTATTTTAATTGTTGTAAAATCATTTGATTTTGGTTGGGGAAAAAAATAGGTCCTTAGAAGGATTAACAATTTTGAAGCCATGAAAGTTACAGATAATACATTTCACACTCGTTACACATGAATTGATTGAATATGCAAAATTTTGAGTGAAATTGAACTAAGTGAGAGGAAAATACTCTAAGATGCTTGAAAATTGAGTTCTCAATTCATTAATAGGTCTTAGAGCAATGTGAAGATGATGACATAAGAGCAAATCTACTAGGTATTGAACTTTTGTAATTTTCATTATTAATGACCTTGTGCATATAGTGTAAACTTTGAAATTTGTATTTCATTTTCTTTCCTAATTTTATTCATGTATGTGCATTTAGTTGCATTTGAAATGTATGTAATCCATGTGATTGATTTTCCTTACCTAAATACATTTTGATTAGGTAACTTGATAATAGTATTACAATGATTCTAACAAAATGTTAGTATTTACGAAATGGTTCTGTCTTTTTTTTTTTTTGAATTACGTTTTACCTTAAAGTAATTTGTTTAGTTTTCCCATTAAGGTAAGTAGTCATTACTCATTATTACTCTAGTATTGCATAAAATATGCATTATAGAGGATGTTCTATGGGTGGATAAAAGAGTAAAGGAAAGAAGATGCTTTAAATGAAAAGAAATCAAGAGAATAGTATTGAAATTCCAACACATTTTCCTTTATTAGATAGCAGGATTGCAATTGTACATGAGAGAAAAAGAAAGCACCTAAAAGGTATTGCAACAAGGGAAGATGAAAGGTATCTGCCCATATTGAAGTAAAATAAGATAAAGAAGCATTTGGAAATAACTAAGAGTGTTTCCAATTAGTCGATTAAAATGACTTTTTTCATTATGTAGTAGCGGATTCTAATTCGGTTATTGGACTTCCAATGATTTTCTTCTTCTCAGGTACTGTTTTGAGGTTCACATTGGCCATGTTGGTCATGAAATTCGTACCTGCATTGGCCCAAAGAGTGGTTTACGGAGTGCTAAGCATGAATGGAGAAAGGGAGGAGTTCAAGATGTAATTTACTTTCCAAATTGTTTTCATCTCTATGACCGAGTTGGAAAACCAAGAATTGGCCATGATGAGAGACATATTGTCCGACGTATCCCAGCCATTGTAGAGCTCTGTATACAAGCTGGTGTGGACCTCAAGAAGTATCCTACAAGGAGAAGAACAAAACCAGTTTATTGTATTGAAGGTAGAATTGCAGATTTTGAGGCACAGACAGAAAAAGATGCGACTGGAAATCCTAATTCTGAGGATTGTAAATTGGCAATAGATTTTAATTCAAGCACAGAAAATGGTAGAATTGGTGACAAATCGATTTTGGATAATTTGATTATACCTGAGGTGCAACCCAGCCCTGAACAAAGAAAGAGCTTGAGGGAGCTAAGCTCTGTGACATTGGAGTCATGGTTTGAGATGATATCTGGAGCAAAGAAGATAATGGAAAAATACTGTGTGTGGACTTGTGGTTATTGTCCTGAGATTCAGGTGGGGCCAAAGGGGCACAAGGTTAGAATGTGCAAGGCATCAAAGCACCAGTCTCGCAATGGTTTACATGCATGGCAAGAAGCAACAATAGATGATCTTGTGGGTCTTAATTATGTCTGGCATGTGCGTGATCTCCGTGGGCCACCATTGGTTAACAACCTGAAGAGGTATTATGGCAAGGCGCCAGCTGTGGTCGAGCTATGTGTGCAAGCTGGTGCTCACGTTCCAGATCAGTGTAGGAGTATGATGAGATTAGATGTGGTTCCTCCTGGTCGTGATGAAGTTGATCTTGTAACGTGATGAGACTTTCTTTCAACCAGATATTTCAAAACAGTTGAAACAATCATGTAAGTTATTGACCAATGCAGTGTCTCCCATTCTGCTAGATTGAAGATCAATTTAGCGCGAAAAGAGAAAAACAAGGGTTCAATTGAGGGTGTTCTCGATTCAGTAGCTTGCTTTGTAGGCTTTTAATATGAGATTGATTCAGTTGTTGCATTTTGTAAACTAGATTTAGGGTTCCTTCTTCTTGTTATGTTCAGGTTCTTGTTGGCTCTTGAATTTTAATTCTAATTAAACCTCATATTTGCAAATTGAAGGGAAAATAAAAGAATTAATCCTATATGCTGATTGTCATTTCCTTGTTGCCTTTTGATAGTTCTAGTTATGAAAAGTGTTTAATCAATTCTCACTCTTTCACAATTATATATTGTTAACAATTAGAATGACGATAATATCGACAACCTACATTGGGTGGTTACCCAATTATCGGTGTATCAGTGTAAATATGTGTACTTGCAATTAGTAGTTGTGTGCAAATGTACTATCTATGAAAAATCAATGATTAATGTTACAAATTCTAAATGAAATTCAAAGAATTACAACTCATCAACTTTTTTAGTGGGGCCTGTTTATCACTCATTTAAAGGATAATATATATTTTAATTTTTAGGTTCCATTTGGTTTGCTTTCAAAACCAATGTCCTGATACTAATCATCAAAATTTGTATTTGTAATGTTTTATTCCTTAATTAGTATAATAAATAAGTTATGGAACAACATTGTGTTACACTTTGTAAATTAATTTATTTATTGTCAATTGATGTAGGTGAGCAAGTTCGCAAAGGAATGATGTGTCAAGAAATAGTGTGGTAAATTTCACAAGTTTGTATCAATGGTGGTGGGGAGATGATTTTGTGCATATCGGAATTGGGTTCATCCTAGTTTGCAATATGATACATATGGAAAGCATAGACAAGAAAGTGAATCACAGTGAGGGCTGTAATAAAAGCCTTGCGTAATCGGGTTTGGTTGGGAATTGACTTAATAAAATTCTCACAATGAACGAATACCTAAGTACTACCCTGCTGCTAATAGTCTCGTTTTCATATTATTTTCTTGCATACTTTTTGTGTTTTCTGAATTTTAATTTCTCAAAACAATCTGACATTCAATAATGCAACGAAGGATACTATTCCAAATTGTTTGAATGCATCCAATTCCCAATTTCAATTTCACCATTGCAATAACCCTAGTTACAAATGTCGAAATTTGAAGTAGATGATCCTCTATATGCAAAAGTACCAATATAGAACTGAACTGAATGTGCAGGGAGGTTTCACAATATACTTGGTGGAAAGAGGGTATGCTTTTTATTCTTATAGATTATCAACTTGCCATTGGATTAGGGATGAGCTAGGCTGAGAAGTAGTTTTTTATCCTAAACTCCGAATAAAAACTCGTGAAAGTAGAGTTGTCGAATTGTTTGCCGTTATCTGACACAATACCTCTAGGGATCCCGAATCTACACATAGGGGTGTCCATGGGCCGGATTATCTACGGGTCCAATTACCTGACCCGAAAAAAGAGGCCCGAAACTCGATAGGCCGGATAATTGGCCCTCTCGAATCCAATATCCTTAAAAAAAAGGGTTTAAGTTTACCTCCAAACCCAATAGCCCGGCCCAATAGTCCGCCCGTTAAAACCCATTTCAAGATCCTGCTCATCAAGCCCGGCCCGTTAACCCTTCCTTTGAAGAAGTTATACTTTTAAACTATTAAATTTAAAACTTTGAAATAAGTCTCCCAATATCGAAATTTGAAAGTTTAAAAATTTAGATACTATAAATAATGTATTATTTTTCTTTTCCATGTATTAATATACAAGTTTTAAAGGGTAAAATAATACAAATGATAGATAACTGAGTAAGCGTCAACTTAGTTGGGATCTATTCATTCTATTGGATGTAGTTCATCCCTTAATCAAAAAAAAAATTATTCATTATTTTATTTTTATTCATTTTGACTCTGCTTTTAATTCAAAAATATAATTTACACAAATATTAAGTTACAAAAATATTTATTATTTTTAAATGAAGTTGTGTATAAAAAAGCCCACCCAACAAGGCCCGCCTAATAGGCTTACAGGTAGCCTACCCCTATCTGAAGCCCGGCTCAGCCCGTCCGATAACTCACTTGGGTAAGGACTTGAGATTACACTACTCAGGCTAGGCCCGAAAAAAATTTCGCCAGCCTAGATCGGCCCAGCCCATGGACACATAAATCTACACACTATTGACTTTCATACTGATCTTCTGTTTTATTGATAGTTGCAAGAGATTCAACCTGCCCGCTTGGTAAAATAATCAATCGTCACCACAACGGACTTGCACTGTCTCATTCCGATTGACAACGGCCGTATGATATCAGTTCCAAATTATCGGAAAAGCCACGACTTATTATTAGTGTGTGTAGCTCAGGTGGCATAAAAATTGTCGAAGACATGTTTTCTTATGATCGGACTAAATAGACTAGAAATTTCGACCATTGCCATTAGTATTGTTCCAAATTTTAACCAAAAATTTACACACCTTTAGTTCGTCGGAAGAAGGCCGGAGGATGGTGGCACAAGGGTGTGTGAGGGAGGGAAGATAGATACTGCTATGAGAGAGACAAAGTGAAGACCAGCTATAATTCTTGCTCTGTTCTGTGTTTCTCTAAAGTACATACATGTTAGGGTTTTAGCTTTTCTTTATTTTTTATTTTTTATATTTTCCACTTTTTTTTTTCCCTCTTTCTCATTATTTAATGATAGTTTTCTTTTTATCTTTTTCCTCTTTTTTATTCAATTATTTTTTAGTTCTTCTTTTCTTTCTCTATTTAGTTTTATATTTTTTCAGTACCAGAAATTTGTTCACACCCCTCCCCTCACGCATGCATATTTCTAAGTATCTATTTTTTGATGTAGTGTCATCGTTATATTTAATATTTTCTCTTATTAAAAATATGACTTGATCCCAAAATATAGGTAGAGGATAAAAACTAGTTTGTCACTATTAACAACACGAAGGTTTTAAATAGACGAGGTTGACAAGTCTTGATATGCTCAGGCTCAACTTGTACATGGTAAAACTTAAATAGTAATCCAAGATTCTCCCGCTGGTTTAATCAAGAAACAAACACTCAGTGTATACAATATTTTATTTTATTACTGTTCTAGTATTCCAAGTTTTCTTTTTTCAAAATTTTGATGCTAATAGTTTAGAAAATTTGAGTTATTCAAGACAACTACAAAAGTATGCCACATCCTCGCTGCTCTAAATTTTTGAACATTATTCACTTATTGCTTGTAAATTCATTCCTAGGTTCTACCTATTTTCGTAGTAAATTCCTAATGTGACGACACTACTGCATATCCAACTAGGCCCTTGGAAGGAAAGTGCCAGAAAACAATCTTTCCAATAAATGAATCCGAACCTATCAAGTGATCCCCCTTCTAGCCTCTCCTATAACTCTATGGAATGGAAGTAGTGTATCATACAAGACAAGCAGGTGATAGGTAAATTGAAGCCCGTAAGCGCCTGCCTGATATATACCCTTCAACGGAAAAGAGAGGTTCGTCGAAGCATTCGTTTCCAACGTTGAAATTTAGCTTGGAGACGAGCATACATTAGCTCATCACCACAAACTTTTCTATATAACCAAACCAAACCAAACCAAACAAACTATTCTATATGGCACCAAAAAAATCAAATTTTCCACAAAGGGGGAAATATTTTGGAAAGGGAGGACTGTGTAGGTCCCAGACAGAAATCTGATTGATCTTATTTTTAAGAAATCAATTCCCTGTCTCAAATTCCCCTTTTAATCCTTCTCCCAGACAATACATCAATCTTAAGAGACAAAATTTCTTCGCACAGGAAACCTAAGACGGAAGAGTGTAAACCGGTGTATTGTGTGTGTGTGTGTGTGTGTGTGTGTGGATGGGCCTGAATCTGTGAGAGTGAATCAATGGGTGTGTCGTGTCATGTCGTGTATGCATTACTGTTGTTTGTGAGGCTCTGCTTGAGGGTGTGTGTTTGTGTTGCAACAATACAAAGAGGAAAAGAAAAAAGGAAAGACAAGATAGATTACCTGATCAGCGGCGACGGCTCTTCACGGAGGCGAGGCGAGGAAGGATAAGAACAGAGAGCGACAGATTGCAATGGCATAGAGGGAGGGAAGAGCAGTGACTTTCAGATTGGGAATTGAACAACACAAACAGAGTGCAAATTCTCGACTTGAAAAAATAAATATATATAAACAATGATGCTAAGAGTATAAAACTTTCTTTTAGAGTTAATTATATAAATAACCCTTAAATTATATCATTTGTTTCAATTCAGCTTCTGAACTAATTTTTATATCAATTCAGTCCCTCAACTATGCAATTTGACATAATGTTTTCCTTTCTTTCAAATTTATTATTAATTTTAACGGAAATTTTCACGTGCACATCACATAAGTCAAGGATGAGGATATGTGATATGCAAGTGTGGTGATCTGATAAAATTAATAGCGAATTTAGACAGAAGAATCACATGATTGAGGGGCTCAATTGACATAAAAATAAGCTCATGAACTTAATTAACAAAAATGATATAATTTAGGGGTCATTTGTGTAGTTAACTAGTTTATGTTTCTTCAGCAGAGATACATCTATTGATTAAGCCCTTCTTTTTTGGTTCTATTACCATTTGATTTTTGGATGCATTGCTCATTCTTTCTGTCTCCTTTAACTATGGTGAACTTTTATACGTTAGAATCAAATTTACAAATATAAACCCAGCAATACTTCTCCGTAAATCACGCCATATTTCATATGCAATAATGTTTTTATAAGTTAATAGAATCAAGATTGGAATAGAATTGAATATATGTTACCTGATCAATGTTTGGTAATAACTAGAGTTAAGCATTGAAATAGAATTAAAAATTCACAAAAATATTTAAATAAATAAACATTTAAAAAATCCTTAGACTCGTACCCAACTCGAGCCCAAACATATACCCAGACCCTCAAACCCGATCTTGACCCTAGGTGGTGGTAGTTGTGACAAGTTAAAAGTTAAATTTTAAATAGATTACTGCATTTAAAAGTGAAAATTTAAATGAGTTATTGTGGATTAAAAAAGTAGAATAAATTACCATAGTTAAAAGGTTAAAATTTAATATAGACAATCTGAGTTTTTGTTTTGTTTTTCTAAGTGAAGAGCTTAAACAATTCAAACACAATGTCCTGTTTTATTATTATAGATAACAGATCATATGTTAATGGGATTAGATATTCTATGGGAATGGGAATTAGAATAGATTTTCATTACTACATACCAAACATTAAAGTTTCATTCTCCTAATTTTTTACCACATACAAAACACAGCGTAAATATTAATTTAAATGAGAGTCACACATTGGCAAAAATATTCAACAGGTGATGATTCCTTCAATATACTATACCTCAATTTGCCTCAATAGTCTATCAACAACTAGAGNAGGGGGAAATATTTTGGAAAGGGAGGACTGTGTAGGTCCCAGACAGAAATCTGATTGATCTTATTTTTAAGAAATCAATTCCCTGTCTCAAATTCCCCTTTTAATCCTTCTCCCAGACAATACATCAATCTTAAGAGACAAAATTTCTTCGCACAGGAAACCTAAGACGGAAGAGTGTAAACCGGTGTATTGTGTGTGTGTGTGTGTGTGTGTGTGTGGATGGGCCTGAATCTGTGAGAGTGAATCAATGGGTGTGTCGTGTCATGTCGTGTATGCATTACTGTTGTTTGTGAGGCTCTGCTTGAGGGTGTGTGTTTGTGTTGCAACAATACAAAGAGGAAAAGAAAAAAGGAAAGACAAGATAGATTACCTGATCAGCGGCGACGGCTCTTCACGGAGGCGAGGCGAGGAAGGATAAGAACAGAGAGCGACAGATTGCAATGGCATAGAGGGAGGGAAGAGCAGTGACTTTCAGATTGGGAATTGAACAACACAAACAGAGTGCAAATTCTCGACTTGAAAAAATAAATATATATAAACAATGATGCTAAGAGTATAAAACTTTCTTTTAGAGTTAATTATATAAATAACCCTTAAATTATATCATTTGTTTCAATTCAGCTTTTGAACTAATTTTTATATCAATTCAGTCCCTCAACTATGCAATTTGACATAATGTTTTCCTTTCTTTCAAATTTATTATTAATTTTAACGGAAATTTTCACGTGCACATCACATAAGTCAAGGATGAGGATATGTGATATGCAAGTGTGGTGATCTGATAAAATTAATAGCGAATTTAGACAGAAGAATCACATGATTGAGGGGCTCAATTGACATAAAAATAAGCTCATGAACTTAATTAACAAAAATGATATAATTTAGGGGTCATTTGTGTAGTTAACTAGTTTATGTTTCTTCAGCAGAGATACATCTATTGATTAAGCCCTTCTTTTTTGGTTCTATTACCATTTGATTTTTGGATGCATTGCTCATTCTTTCTGTCTCCTTTAACTATGGTGAACTTTTATACGTTAGAATCAAATTTACAAATATAAACCCAGCAATACTTCTCCGTAAATCACGCCATATTTCATATGCAATAATGTTTTTATAAGTTAATAGAATCAAGATTGGAATAGAATTGAATATATGTTACCTGATCAATGTTTGGTAATAACTAGAGTTAAGCATTGAAATAGAATTAAAAATTCACAAAAATATTTAAATAAATAAACATTTAAAAAATCCTTAGACTCGTACCCAACTCGAGCCCAAACATATACCCAGACCCTCATATGTCCTGTTTTAAATATTTAAAAGTCCTGTTTTATTATTATAGATAACAGATCATATGTTAATGGGATTAGATATTCTATGGGAATGGGAATTAGAATAGATTTTCATTACTACATACCAAACATTGAAGTTTCATTCTCCTAGTTTTTTACCATATACAAAACGCAGCGTAAATATTAATTTAAATGAGAGTCACACATTGGCAAAAATATTCAACAGGTGTTGATTCCTTCAATATACTATACCTCAATTTGCCTCAATAGTCTATCAACAACTAGAGGACTTGGATCTATCTTTTGCTACATATCTGCGATTGCATTGAAGGTCACTGGGCTAGACAAGGTGTCAAGAGCTTGATAATCGAANAAAAATAAGCTCATGAACTTAATTAACAAAAATGATATAATTTAGGGGTCATTTGTGTAGTTAACTAGTTTATGTTTCTTCAGCAGAGATACATCTATTGATTAAGCCCTTCTTTTTTGGTTCTATTACCATTTGATTTTTGGATGCATTGCTCATTCTTTCTGTCTCCTTTAACTATGGTGAACTTTTATACGTTAGAATCAAATTTACAAATATAAACCCAGCAATACTTCTCCGTAAATCACGCCATATTTCATATGCAATAATGTTTTTATAAGTTAATAGAATCAAGATTGGAATAGAATTGAATATATGTTACCTGATCAATGTTTGGTAATAACTAGAGTTAAGCATTGAAATAGAATTAAAAATTCACAAAAATATTTAAATAAATAAACATTTAAAAAATCCTTAGACTCGTACCCAACTCGAGCCCAAACATATACCCAGACCCTCAAACCCGATCTTGACCCTAGGTGGTGGTAGTTGTGACAAGTTAAAAGTTAAATTTTAAATAGATTACTGCATTTAAAAGTGAAAATTTAAATGAGTTATTGTGGATTAAAAAAGTAGAATAAATTACCATAGTTAAAAGGTTAAAATTTAATATAGACAATCTGAGTTTTTGTTTTGTTTTTCTAAGTGAAGAGCTTAAACAATTCAAACACAATGTCCTGTTTTATTATTATAGATAACAGATCATATGTTAATGGGATTAGATATTCTATGGGAATGGGAATTAGAATAGATTTTCATTACTACATACCAAACATTAAAGTTTCATTCTCCTAATTTTTTACCACATACAAAACACAGCGTAAATATTAATTTAAATGAGAGTCACACATTGGCAAAAATATTCAACAGGTGATGATTCCTTCAATATACTATACCTCAATTTGCCTCAATAGTCTATCAACAACTAGAGGACTTGGATCTATCTTTTGCTACATATCTGCGATTGCATTGAAGGTCACTGGGCTAGACAAGGTGTCAAGAGCTTGATAATCGAATAGGTAGAGAGAGATTTGACTCGTGATGGTTCCTTGATTGGCTGGAGTGGAGTGGGAGGATCTACTAGTAGGTACAAGAAATTGCTTTGACAATAATAAGTTTATCAATCAACTATCCAACAGGTTGTGTTGACAATCGAGGCACATAACTGAGCCAGTGTACTAGCAAGAACCTCTTCAGTAGGGGCAATAATCATGTCGTGTCATGTTGAATATTAGTTAATCTTAATCCAATTTGTTTAATTAATTGTATTGTATCGTATTAACCAAGCACGAATTTCATTATCACTTAATTAAAATTAAAATTTAACTTAATAAATATAAAAATAAAAATCTGTTTTTGGATGAAAGTTAGACCACTACTTGATAAAATATCATAAAAAAATTAATATTTTATTCTTATAATACTACTTAAATGTACTAATTGTATCAATTTCGCATTGTTCTTATGTCACACTAACTCAACCCATATATTATTCGTGTTAACAAATCGTATCATATACGAATTCATGTCGAAAAATGATCAACTATAACCCACTAATTTAGTGTCAATTTCTAGTAATGTTTTTGTATTGTGTCATAAATTGTCACCCCTACTCTCAAGGGATCAAACCTCGACCTAAAAAAGCAAAAGCTTCATGGAGGAGAAAAACTAGGACAAGAACCGCTAACAAACATGCCTCTGCTCCCATTGCCGAACCTACCCACCACTTTCTCTAATTTTGAAAAATTTTAACGAGAAACAAGACAATGAAAGCTTGTAATTTGTGCATAAAATTTACTATTGGCACAAACCGAGAACTAGGACAGTAATACAAAATAATACGTCACATAAGTTGATAATGAGTAATAACAAACCTGATTCTATAACTACTTTAAGGTGTTTGCATGACAAGAAGACAACTAAAATGACATTTCATTGTATCACAAGAAGTTACAAGACTATATTTAAGTTATTCTTGCAAATAGTAAGGCAGAAGGCCACAACATATTGTATATCTCACCTTCGAAACTTTCGTATCAAATTATTGATAGCTCACTCCATCACCACTTACAACCTCACCGATGTAGTAAACAATACTCGCCCTATGACCATCCTCAAGAATTGTAACAGCAGTTTCCTTGCTAACAACCAGAACCATCCCAATTCCCATATTAAACGTCCGCCTCATTTCAGTATCTTCTATTTTTCCAGCCTAAGGCCAATAAAAAATATTTAGTAACGAAATAGATACGCAAAGACATATGTACGACATCCATGTCCCAATCTCGAAATAAAATTGGACAAACAATCAAAGTTAGACAACTTGCCAAAATGTTGGTTAGTTTGGTAAAATATTCTCCTTTAAAAAAAAAAATTTCAACATCCAAGCAAAGCAATTAAAGGTTGCGAAGATTCTTACCTCTTGGATCCATTTGAAAACGGGGGGAACCACCCAAGAGTCCTTATAAATGACAGCCCCGAGTCCTTTAGGAAACACTCGAGGTATATTGTCTGTAAAACCACCACCTGTGATGTGGGCTATCCCTTTGACACCTCCCTTGCTGATAATGTCAAGCACCTGTTTTTACCAAATCAAAAGATGAGATCAGTTCATTTCAAGCAATTAACCAAGACAACAACATTTAGAAGTTACGTGAAACAGAAGTGCGGGAAGACCTGCTTAACATATATAACAGTGGGTGCCATCAAAGCTTCACCTAATGAAATAGAATCACCAGGAAGTTGGTCCTTCAAAGAAAGATCGGTTCGAGCGAGAACCCTATAAAAATTGTGTCAAAGCCATCAACAAAAGATAATGAATGACACTATATCCTTTTCCTACTTTAAAAAAAGAAGTCTGTTGAAGCATTTGCATACTTTCTAACAAGAGAGAAACCATTGGAATGAACTCCACTAGATGGCAGGCCAATGAGGACATCTCCAACCGTAATGGTTTTCCCATCAATAACTGAATCCTTCTTCACGATGCCAACAGCAAAACCACTAAGATCATACTCGCCATTTGCGTAGAAATCTGGCATCTCTGCAGTCTGCAAGGCACATATACTCGATCCACTCAGTTCAACTGAAGGAAATTTCTTCGTTTAAAAAGTCACCTATTTTTTCAGATTTCTTCCTAACATACCGAGACTCAAATTCAGCTTCTTCTTTTTTTTAGCGGAGTAAGATGTACTCTCAAAATATAAACTGAAAAACACATTTCCAAGACTACAGTGTGCCCAAAAAAGAGAAAAAATTATATGAACCCCTAAAAATATTATACGAATTCCTCATCAAACATTTAAAATAGTATATAGGCTAATATGATTGCACAAAACCACGTTATTTACAATAACATTGGATTACGTAAATGGTTTGTGTACCTAGCACTAGTATTCCCCCTCGTCATATTCAACAATACAAAACACATCAATAGGTTTACAATCACTGTCTTAGATTTAATAAAAGGCTATAAAAAGTAACAGAGATACCTCTCCACCTAAAAGAGTGCAATCAGATTGTTGGCAACCATCAACAATGCCTTTTATAACCTGCACAAAAAAAGGACAGATAAATTGACCTTTCTCTCCCATATATAAACGTCTTACAATCCCATATACATGACCTTTCACATTGTTTCCATACCTTTTCAGCAAGATCAACATCAAGGCGGCTTGTAGCAAAGTAATCAAGAAAAAATAAAGGCCTTGCACCTGAAGTGACAATATCATTGACACTCATTGCAACCTAAAAAGGAAATGTATCAGATTTCCTAACTTTAGTGGCAAATACACACCACAAGATGCCCATTAACTTTACCAGATCAATCCCAATAGTCTCATGTATTCCAGTTTCAAATGCCAGCTTAAGTTTAGTTCCTACGCCATCTGTACCGGCCACAAGATAGGCCTAATCCGAGAAAAAAAAAAAGATAGGAAATCAAATTAAGAAATCGAAGACGAGCAGAAAACCACTACATAAGAAGTACTCCTCATAATCTATGTACCAAAAGAAGCCCATTGTCCATAATCTATCTCCTAATGTCCCTAAAATAAGCACTACTAGAACAAGTGGCACATGCTATAACCAATGGTAGCGGCCAATACTAAATATAATTATGGCATTTAAGCAACAAAGTAACACAAATTTTGCAGAAGCTTTTGACTTGAGTATCAATTCTAGCTGAATGCATTGCAGCAAAATACTATTTATTGCATGAATTTCGCCAAAGAGTTCATGCAATTAAAATAATGTTTGAAATGCAAATTCATGCATATTTTAAGAATTTGAGAGCCTTTAACAGAAAAGGGGAGAAAAGGTAATGGAAGAAACAAACACAAAAAAGACCAGAGCAAATGAAAATGTACCAAGGGGAAATAGCCCTCCAAAGCCTCCGATCCCAGGCGCCATCTTTGCAATTCTCCTAACAAGCTCTGATCCAGCATCTATGTCCACACCAGCATCCTTATATGTGAGACTGCCAGCCTTACTAGTATTCCAACTGTTATTGCTGCTTGACATTGATAATGTAATGCTACTCTTCCTAGATCTTTGAGGCCCTACTCCAAAAGTTATTGATAATGGTTGCAGTCTCTTTAAGAAGGAATTAAACTTGAATATGCAAGGACATGGATGGGTGATATATGATTTTTGGCAAGAGAATTTGGTGGAAGCTACAATGCATCTTGATAGCTCGGTATGGGCTCCAAATGTCGTAGTCATAGCAGGCCAAGAAGACGCAGACACCTAAAATACGAGAAGAAGAAATAAAGGGAAGTTAGGTAGCAATTTTTTTTTTTTAAAGTGCACATCCGTACAACTTTTTTTTTTTTTGGGAGGAGGAGGGAAAAGGAAACTTGAACCCTTGACCTCAAGAAGGCAAAACTTTCACAAGATAAGGAATACCATTTAACCAAAGACCCATTGGTTGGGTAGCAATTATCAGATCACATGTAAATTAAACATTAGTACAGTTTACAAAACATTATATTTGACAAAAGTGATAAACTATGGAGACCTGTGCATGTTAACATATCAAAGATTTCATTTTTCAGCTGAATAATAAAAACATATTCACAACAACGATAAATTGAGTGAATCATATCTAGCGCACACACTCCCAATAAAGGAGACATATTATTAGATTTTGCATAAGCCATGAACTATGATATGTTTCATCCATCAGAGCACAGGATTCTGTTATGAATTCAACTATTGATCCAAAAGATACAGGACTTATGGGGGTTTAGAACTCATAACTATTTGATCGTAACATTCTACCACGCCCAGAGCCGACATCCATGGCGGTCCACTCTATAGACATTGGTAACCTTTTCTCTTTGGCGCCTTCACTCACCTACTGCTATTCAAAAAGCCGGAGCCGGGGTAGGAAGTTAAGTTACCTACCAGTTGTTCGCTAAAGGAATAAGAATGTGTCTGGAAGTTAGACGAGAGGTGGTGGGCCCCAATTTAACAACAGCACCAGACATGGCTATGCCGACACGACGATGGTTCCATAGCCTCAAAATGGCATAGGAAACAAACAAAACTCGTCTTGTTATCAAAAGATAATCCCTTACTCCATTCCTGACTAAGGTCAAGAATGGTGGGATGGTAAAAATCAACTCCTTCCTGGAAGGTCAAGCGATAGCACTATGTCTATACATAATAGTACGACATTTTAATCCAACATATAGGTCACCATTCCGTGACCCGAACTCATGACGGTATCTGCTCTGATACCAACTGTTATGCTGATAACTATTTGAACGTAACAGATTCAAGATCAACAAAGAAAGTAAGTGCCAGTTACCAAAACTCTTACTAAAATAAAAACGAAAAAAAAAACAAACAAGTGGACAAGATTAATAGATCCAAANAATGATAACTATTTGAACGTAACAGATTCAAGATCAACAAAGAAAGTAAGTGTCAGTTACCAAAACTCTTACTAAAATAAAAACGAAAAAAAAAACAAACAAGTGGACAAGATTAATAGATCCAAACTCTGAAACAATGGTAAAATATAGCACAACATGATTATGATAAAATAAAATAAAAATTGCCAAAGAAACGTTTTCTTATGATCAAACTAAATAGTCCAAAAATTTCGACCATTGCCGCTGGCATTGTTCCAAATTTTAACCAAAAACTTACACACCTTTAGTTCGCCGAAAGAAGACCGGAGGATGGTGGCACAAGGGTGGGTGAGAGAGGGAAGATAGATACGACTGTGAGTGAAAACTAACTATTATTCTTGCTCAGTTTTGTGTTTCTCTATGGGAAAAAGTACATACCAGTTAGGGTTTTAGCTTTTCTTTATTATTTGTTTTTTATATTTGCCACTTTTTCCCCTCTTTCTCATTATTTAATGATAGTTTTCTTTTTATCTTTTTCCTCTTTTTTATTCAATTATTTTTTATTTCTTCTTTTCTTTCTGTATTTAGTTTAATATTTTTTTAGTACCAAAAATTTGTTCACACCCCTCATGCATGCATATTTCTAAGTATTTATTTTTTGATGCAGTATCATCGTTATATTTAATACTAGCAATAACGTGTGCCTGAAGGCACTATGCAATTCAAAAAATTTGAGCATTGATCGTGGACATGAAAAAATAATCAATAACTCGTGCTTGAAGGCACTATGTAATGAAAAAAATTGTCAATCAAAAAATAGAAAAAGAAAGAATTCATTGGCATTATCTGTAAAAATACATGGAACTATAACTATGCACACCAATATTGAGAAATTAAACAAATATATAAAAGCAACTGAAACTCATTTATATAGAGTAAAGATATCAATGGTAAAAGAAAAACACACTATGAACACTACTATTAGAATAGCAAACAATTGAAATTTCTTCAAATCACATTGGTTACAACAAATCCACACTATAGTACTNAAAAGAATTCATTGGCATTACCTGTAAAAATACATAGAACTATAACTATGCACACCAATATTGAGAAATTAAACAAATATATAAAAGCAACTGAAACTCATTTATATAGAGTAAAGATATCAATGGTAAAAGAAAAACACACTATGAACACTACTATTAGAATAGCAAACAATTGAAATTTCTTCAAATCACATTGGTTACAACAAATCCACACTATAGTACTCCATCAATTTATCTGCCAATCCAATTATCTATTCAAAAGAAAAGAACCCAACAAAATTTCTAGCTTATAATTCCATAAAGAACCCAACACAGCACTATGTGTGTGTGTTTTAAAAGTAGCCAAGGATGTGCTTTGAGCTTTACCTAACATTTGTTCTTGTCACTCTTGAATTTGAATAGTCACAATGGATTAAAATTCACATGATATATTTGAGGCATATCAACTCACAAACAACGAATTCAGAAAATTGACTTGATGACTTGGAACATCAATCAAAGTATCAANAGATGTGCTTTGAGCTTTACCTAACATCTGTTCTTGTCACTCTTGAATTTGAATAGTCACGATGGATTAAAATTCACACGATATATTTGAGGCATATCAACTCACAAACAACGAATTCAGAAAATTGACTTGATGACTTGGAACATCAATCAAAGTATCAAATTTGTAGAACCAATTTCGGAGGCGCTACTGATATATTCTCAAATTAGCAACTATAACGGATGGTCGTTGCACAATAACTCAAGTCGTACACCTAAGTTACTTTAGAGTAACATTTACAGTAATATGGACAGTTTCATATTATAGCAATCAAAATTCAAATTCACACATTGTTGAAATAATCCACCGATGCACAATAGAACATTTCAACATAAAATTACCTTCTAATTTTTCCAAATTCTTCGTTGTGTTCCAAGTTAAGACGAACTTGACAAACCGATTTTTCCAACTGCCAGCATGTAAAAACTCAAATAGTTGTTTTCANATCAAAATCAGACTCAAAAATGAAAGTCCATTATATAGGCTGGGCAAACCCATCTGTTGAATAATTGCCTTAAAATATCAAATTTGACAAATGTGTGTGTTGAAATATTTCTTTATTCCGGTCATGTTACCTTCAGGGATAAGGGGAGGGTAGTCGCCCAAAACCTTCTTTTTCCTGTGCCTATTCAAACTTATCTTTTCAAAGAAAAAAACAAAAAACATCATATTCAACTTAAAAGTCACTTAAAATAAGCTAATCTAAGGTGCAACAATATCAACATTTTGAGTACACACATCAAAATTTATATAGCATCACAAAATTCACCTCATATTTTATGTAAGATGTCACTAACCAAAAAATAAATAAAAAATAGCAGCAAAAGTATACGCATGTATAACTTGTTGCAGCATATAATCGATCAAACTTAAATCCAAAAGAACTTCAACAATTTCAAGAATCAATTAGAAAAAGTTCAACTATAGAAAATATTCAAATAGTCCACTTGAAAGGCTTTGGCATATACTGTGCAAGTTTAAGCTAAATGCAAGCAAGATAAAAGAAAGCAATTGAAATAGACTTAGTCATGTGAACTTATATGCCATGGATCACACCCCCCATCATCATATCGTCCTCAATGTAGACAACCTACCATTTCTATGTTGATCCACAAAGTTCGTCTTCAGGTTCCAACATGTCTTCTAAATTTCTTATCAAATTCATATACACATGCAATTGTGTCAAATCCATTGTCCTCCCAATAGGGATCCCTTGTATGTTAACTTGAATAAAATTAGAACAATATTCCAACAAAATGTTTTCATTTGGACCAAAATTCCAAATAACAACAATATCAAACAAATGAGAAAAAAAGATAAACAAATGAAGACATATTTTCATTGAGGCAAAACAACAAAGCACTCAATTGAGAAAAAGGGGAGAGATAAGAAAGGGGAAAGAGAAAGAAGGGGTCAGGGAGGATATATGGTATATGGTATATGGTATGTGTTTGTTAGCAATAACTCCTGCCTAAATACACGGGTTATTGAGAGATCAGCACTTATTAGAAGAATAATCAACCTAAGTTTTCTAGACAACAAAACTCATATCAAACCAGTCAAAGTTACAATCATATCACCACAAATAATTTATTAAGGACTTCCTATACATATTGCTAGACAGTTTACAGAGGACCTTTTTTAAGCCTCAGTACATAAAAAACATAGAACAAATACAAAGCAATGAATAATGGCTATAACACCACAAATAACAATTGGGTTGAACTGATTCTTGTTTTATTTAGATTAAACGACCTATTTTCCACCCAAATCAATTTTTACATAATAATGCAATAGTCTCCTTCCAATTAGTACAACATCAAAGAAACTAATACAAAACACCATGATGCAAGCATTAGAATTCTACATATACCTCGTAGGCCGAAATCTATTTATCATCATAATGTTATCTCCCGATCACATCCTACAATTGGCTCGTCAATTAGCTCATCAATTGATCGAGAATTAATTGGCAATAGTTTCACTTGAAATAATGTAACTGCGTGAGAAAGAGAGAGAGAGAGAGGGTTTGAAGGGCATGCAGGGAGGTGGCAGTTTTTGACAATGAGAGATGGTGAGAAAAAAGATTGGATGTGATGGAATTTAGGAAGAAAATATGTATGGGATAAAATTCAAGTTCCTTCCTAATTTTGAGAAGGATGTTAGTGGTATTTGAATGAGTCTATTTAAGACCGTCAGATGGACTTATTGAAAAACATATAATCACAAAACGGTAAGATTCACTCAAACAACCAAAACAATCAAATTTAAGAAAATTAACCAAACCAACACAAACTTAACCCAATTGAACGGTGAACTAACAAATGTGAATAAGCTAGTAGTAGGATTTAAAAGTAGTGAATGAAACAAAGACTTGTGAATTCATTCAATTGAATGATGAACTAATCAAACTAAGCAATGGAGCAATAATATTACCATTTGTGATTACCACCTATCAGATGAGTCAAACATAACCACAATCACACTTAACGAATGAAATTAATTAAAACTTTTAGATATTCAAAGTAAAAAATAACCAAAAAAAAAATAGTACACACATATACAGGATTAGAGTAAGAATAAAACAGTGAATGCACATTCCAGAGTATCTTGTTCTCCAGTTCTTCATGGCATCGAAAAGAATAAATCAAAAGCCAGAAATCTAATAATGCTCTAATTCCTATTTATGTAAGCAATTATATGTTTTATCACTACACCTAAAAAGTTACGCCATGTCAATGTTATCCAAATTATATACTCATTCATAAAAATAAAGAATTATAATATATAAATCATATATATTCAAATTCACACTGTACAAATACCCATTGACTAAATTCACAAACCAATAACATGCCACATATCACCAATGCTTCAATTTTTTTTAACACATTCATTAAAAATTCAACATACGCATCAACTCGCCCAACCCTTATACCCAAAAAACACCACAACACCAACCTATCACCACCACCCCTACACAAAACCATTAACATGTCACCACCATCATTCTAAAATCATAGAACTTAAGTATCTCAAAAAAAAAAAAACCCTTTCAAAGTCTACCAAATTTTAATATACAATTACATGTGCTAGTGGAGATAGGTATAGAAGGCTTAGAATGAAAAACAAACACACTTTCACATACCTTGAACTCCAATTTCATTCAACTAACAATGCAACTCCCAATAAATTCCTAAATAGACAATATCAATTTCATACATCAATTTTCAAATGGGTATGGAAGCAATCGACATCCTGCTACGAATTAGATAGTAGAATTCATCTATCGAGTCCAATGTTATCTCGTAATTTATTTGGGATAGTAAAGTCATTGTTGTAGTAATTAAGGAGTGTTGTATGCATGAACATCATGTTTTGAAGTTGATGGGTGCACTTGACGATCTGCACAAGATTGGTTTTCGGCTTAATTACCCTTGTTATAGCGTTCTATTGGCGCACTTAGCTAAGTTGAATATGGATTTATCATCATTTTTGGTTTATAGGAGAATGGTAGATGATGGCTTTGCTCTTGGTGTTATTGATTAACATACTAGACTGTAATAAATGTTTTATGCAAGAATGGGTTTGCACAAGTTGCTGAAATGTTCTTTTCAAGAGTTTTAAAACTTGGGTTTTTGTTGGATACTCATATATGTACCTCTTTGGTGCTGGGTAATTGCAAGTTAGGTGATCTCAATGAGGCCTTTTTAGTGTTTGAGAAAATGTCCAAAGAGGATGGTTGTGGTGTCAAAGGAAGAGATGAATGAAAAGGGTTGCCACCCAAGTACTCATCCCTACACTGTCCTGATTAAAGCTATTTGTGATGTAGGATCCAGATAAGGCTTTTGGTCTGCTTGATGAGATGGTCAAGAGGGGATGTAAACCAAATATTCACACATTCAGTATTGATAGATAGGCAATGGAGAGAAGGTAGGATTGGGGAGGCTAATGGAATGCTCAGAAAAATGTTAGATGATGGATTGGTTCTTGGCACAACAACTTATAATGCACTGATTAATGGTTACTGCAAAGAAGGAAAAGTAGTTTCTGCTTTTGAGCTTTTTGGCATGATGGAAAGGAGGAATTGCAAGCCCAATATCCGTACATTCAATGAGCTTATAGAAGGGTTATGTAAACCCAATAAACCTCACAAAGCAATGGAACTTTTGAGAAGGATAGTCGACAATAAGCTATGGTCTGATGAAGTAACCTACAATATTCTGGTTGATGGGTTTAGCAGGGCAGGCCAACTTGATATGGCTTTCAGAGTATTTAATTTAATGAACTCCATTAGCCTTGAACCTGATGGTTTTACTTACACTACATTAATTGATGGTAAAGAAGGGAATATTCTCAGATGAAGTAGCACTTACAGCTCTTATTGATGGATATTGCAAGACAGGTAAAACTGCAAATGCCTTGATGCTTTTTGAGAGAATGGTCAAGAGCAGGTGTTTGACTACACCTCATGCATTCAACTCATGTCTTCATGTTCTCAGCAAAAAAATTATGGTGAATGAACAAAATACAGTGTTTGGAAAGATGATAAAGTACGGCCTAATTCCTTCTGTGGTAACTTATACCATATTGATTGATGGGCTTTGCCGAGAAGGCTATACTACCCACTCCTTGAACGTTTTAGATCTTATGAAGCTAGTGAATTGTCTCCCAAATGTATATACATACACTGTTGCAATCAATAGCCTTTACCAGAATGGTAGAGTGAAGGAAGCAGAGAATCTTCTGTATAAGATGTCCAATTCAGGAGTCTCTCCAATTGACATCACTTATATTGTATTATTGTCAACTAAACAATCATGTCTACTGTGCACTACTTGCCGGATTTGAGTTCTATCAAGCTATGAAGATTGAATAGTTGCATAGGAGCTTGCTTTGGTCAGAGTAATAAATTGAAACACTAAACATCAACTGAAGTTCTCCCAACAAACATTTACAAATATATATATATATATAGATATACCCTAGTTCTCAAATCGAACGAATGGATAGATTGGAAAGATAGATCTGAATTGAGAAAGGTAGAGAAAATGAATGATATTTGAAGTAGAGAACAAATTAGGGAAGAAAAATCAGAGTACCTAATTGGTGTTTGAGCCGCGGAGTGTAGCAACGAACAGAGAAGAGGGATCAGTACAAATATGAGCAGGCGCTGCAACTCTGGGTTTTGCGATCTGCTTTGGTCAATTAGATTGCGCCAGGTGCGTAAGATACACAGCAGATTAACAGAGAGAGAGAGAGAGACCTGGGAGGCAGGTGGCGGGCGGTGTCGCCGGGGCGACGGTAGAGTCGGTGGAGATGGCTTAGCACAGAGAGAGAGAGAGAGAGAGAGAGAGAGAGAGAAGGTGTGGGGGGCTATCAGGCATAGGCCTCTGACATTTAGTGTGGGTGAGAGAGAAAATTGGTTGCGATGGAATTTAGGGTAAAATATTGAGAGAATTACATCCGGCCGTTATCATAATATATTGGTTAATAAATTCCACTCAAATTTTCTAAAATTTATAAATATATATTACTTAAATTTTTTAAANTGTTATCTAAATATATTGGTTAATAAATTCCACTCAAATTTCTTAAAATTTATAAATATATATTACTTAAATTTTTTAAATTTAAAATATTATGCTTAGAATAAAAATATTTTAATTAAAGATAAAATATTAAATATTTTAAATTTTATAATTAAAATTTATATTTTATTATATCATTTATTAAAATAAAATAAAAAATACAAATAAAAATACAAATTTTTCTTAAAAATTATAATTATTATACAATTATATTATCTATAAAAATTTAATTTTATCATTTAAATGGCCAAATTAAAATATCAAATTACCCCAATTAAAATTAGTAGATATTATGTCCATTATAGTTTAACCCCTTGTTTAATTTTTTAGTTTCATTCTAATAGATATTATAATTATATACTAACTTTGATTTTTTTTTTAAAACTAGATTTTTATTTTTGATTTTATTTCAATAAATAACATAATAGAATATGAATTTTAGATATAAAATTCATATTATATTATGAATTACTTAGATCCCTTGTTTGATTTTTTTAATTTTATTCGATAGATATTGTAATTGTAAAATAATTACGATTTTTAAGAAAAAATTAAATTTTTAATTTAAATTTTATACCAATAAGTGATACAATATAACATAAATTTTGATTGTAAAATTTAAAATATTTAATATTCTATTTTGGTTGGAGTATTTTATGGTTTTAATAGAATATTTTAAACATAAGGGAGTTTATGTATTATATACCTACAAACTTCAAGAGGATCTAAGTGTAATTTATTAACGAATATATTTACAGCCAGAGTTAAGTTTTACGTGCGTACAAACCTTGAAAAGTCTGTGTACAATATTTTAAATGTCAAAGAATCTAAGTGATTAAGCGACAAACTTTAAGAGGTTTGAGTGAAATTCTTCCTACAATATTAAGGAATAAAATATTAATTTTTTGAAGATCAAATGAATGAATTTGAGACCATATAATGGACTTATTAAAACCGACTTATTTTTTATTATAGATTGATAGATTATTTGGTACTTTTGTGAGTGACATATAATAGAGTTAACCTATATCTAATTAATAAAATTTTATTTTTTGACACACAAAATTGTGTCAAATTATGTTCATATTCAGCTCGGGTTTAATTCCTACACTTGTAAAAAATCCCCCTTTTACCAAATGCATGAATGGACCGATAACGAGAAGTGCATGCACTTAACTAGAAATCTTATGCCTCTAATAGAATTTCATTCATGTCATCCAAACTTGATAAGAGAAAACAATTAGGAGACAACTAATATTACAACCCAATGAGTCAAAAAGGATGAACAAGCATCCACTTCAAAAGCTAAAAATCCAGAGTTCTTTTACCACTACTATACAAAAACTCGAGTCTTGAAAACCAATAAGATCAAACGAAGAAGTCAAAAAAGGGTATAAATAACAAAACAAGCGTCCCAATGGTTGATTTTGTTACCATTACGCCACAAGGCAGCAGGGACCTTCCAACCCAACTGACATTCCAGAAAGTTGACCCACTGACAGGCTACAAATCATATATTCTCATGTCACATCTTAATAGGTCGCAAACAGGCAGAGTAGATTCAAGGTAGCTGGGTGTAAAGACAGAACAAAATTTTAGTAGATGCCGGGTATAATTCTACAAGGAACCTTCTCGCAATATAACTTCCAGTATTTCCCATACCTGCAAGTAGCAATTTTGTACATCCTATTAGGAGACTTGGGGCAGATGCTGTAAGAACACATTCAATAACTGGATAAACTGCAGCCCTACTTGTGTTATTTTTTTAGCAGCATATTTGATTGATCACCACCAAAAGCACATTGCTTGTGTTCATCACATTTGATAGTATTCAGGCAAGTAAATGACGACAACCAAAAAAGACTTCGCTGTACACGATTCACATTATTGTTTTGTATAATGTCTAACAAAAGCTAGAAGACAGCAAAGGACTGCATCTTTGGCTCAAGTTCAAGAACAATTATCTCTATTGTGATTGTTTCTAGGTGCAATGGAATGTGTAGTCTTACAATGACAGCATGTCAAAAGCCCTCAGTTTTAGGAATTGGTGGGTATATTCACTCAAAAAGGGTAATGCTAAAGTTTGACAACAATAAATTCATAACTATCGACATAATATCATGCTCAAGGTCCAAAGACTAATGGATCACAAAAAAACTTAGCATTTCAATGCTGATTGCAAAAACTCTTCCAGCAATTCTCAGAAGATGTAATTAGTGTTCCTCAGAGGAAGCAAATCAAATAACAGATGAAGGTTGTATTTGCTTACTTTGATCGGCATCGGTCGTCATCCCTTTTGGCTCGGTCAAAAAGAAGGATGGTAAGAAACGCCACATAGAAATAAGGAAGAAACTGCAGACGAGAAGACTAACAGAATCAGATTTCAGCCAAATGCAACCAACTGCAGTTATACCAAATATGCGTATAACTGCTTACATGGTTGAAAAGGGCTGGCACAGTCCAAAAAAAGGCGGCTAATATTTCTGGTACATAATGGAAATGGCGTGATAAGCCCCACCTACAGGAACCATAGAAATTGTTATTTATTAGACATGATCAAGCAAAAAAGAAACTAAAAGTCACTATAAAAGCCATAAGCTCTTGCAGGGGTAAGCCAACCCAGTCCAATGAAAGCAAACTGTGCATTGCAGCGGCTGCCACCCAGTGAGCCGCCTTGTTACGGGCTCTTGGCTTGTGTAGAAAACAAATATTGTGTAAGTTAGCAAAATATCTAATGTCTTCTATCAAATTCAATCAGCTAAGTTGCAGTTTCATCCATCTCTCCAGACCATAAGTAATCTATGTAAGTAACTCGAACATGAAAATCTCATGGTGTTCGCTGCTCCATTACCTCTTCATAAAATTTTCTCCTCATAATGAGAATTAAAATTTAAAAATAGTTGTAATCAAAAACCTACTTTTTGTTAACATAACAATATCCAATCCATCTTGTGCACATACAAAATGGTTGAGTATCAAACCATTCTTATCCTACAACGATTTGATTGGTCAAGCAAAGACAATTATATTAGAACTATTGGGGTGGACAAAGTAAAGGCAATAGATGCAAAAGAAGGACAAACACAAAAAATACGAAAAAAAGAACACTAAAAAAAATATTTCATCCGCACATATCTCCTCATGGCATTGTACATAGCTTGAACCTGCAAATCACAATAAAATTACAAGTCATTAATACTATTCATCCAGAATGACTAACAGTAATTCTCTATCTACATTCATCCACATATAGACACAAAATATAAACCATGCATGCAAATTAGAAGTGAAGATGAAGTTTCATTCATCTTATTCAATGCCTTCTGCAGTCTATATTTGTTTATGTTATGATATAATCACTACTATTTTTTCCT